GGTTATTATGCATACATATGTATGTAAAAAAAATTCNTGCCTTTGTTTACGAAATTTTTGCAAATGTCAGGCCTGTCGTTGTCGGCGGCATCGCATTGTACTTGATCAATACCAATCATTTTGCCCCTTTTTCAGATATATGTACATATGTAGGTACATCTATACATGTGTAGTACTTATGCATTTATGTATTTACATACATATATATATCTGTATACATATGTATGTATGNCAAAACCACAGATTTTTATAAATGCTATTCAATAAAGCTAAAGTGCATTTTATGAACACAAAAGTCAAGAGCATCAAAAATCACATACACAAATGCAGCAACGAATACCTGTACTTTAAACGTTAAATTGTGCGTATCCCAACATTTTCTGTGAGCACTCAAAGCCATATACACGAATACATACATACATACATATGTACATATGTATNGAAATTGTGACATATTTACGTGCACTTAACACACTAATATACACATAACAAACACAACAGTTGTTTTGCAACAACTACAATTGGCGTAGCGCAGCAATTTGTCCTCCTCGGTTTGTGGCAATAGTAGTGGTAAGGTGGTTCAAAAGTCAACCGAGTACAACAGAACCGACAACTGTTGATTTCCGCTCTGCCGCGGTCGCTGTTGCTGGTGTTGGTGTTGGTGTTGCTGTCTTTACACTGCCTGGTACTTTTTCATTTGTTTGACTCTGTGCTGGTATTTATTGCATAGTGTTTTTGTTTTTGTTTCTGTTTTGTTTTTAGTTTTGGCATACAAAAGTTATTTTTGTTAGACAGGGGCAGGAGAACGCACACGACGGATGTACAGGTCGTATGAGCAACAAATTTGCATTTGACTTTTCTGTTTGCTAGTACGCCATGTTTGAAACAGGTTTGTATGTATAAGCCCCTGTTTTACTCCTAATATTTAATTTGTTTATTCATTATTATTTTTACTATTAAATTTTCTTACATTATATTAATTTTATAACACATTTGCCCTTTCACAATTAATAAAAAATTGTATCCGCCCAAGTCCATACGCCGTTTCTCTTTCATGAACTTCACTAACAGATGGCGCCATCAAACAATCGGTTGCAACCCGGCAGATGTCACTTTCTTTTAGGTCATATGACATTTGTGCTGATTTTTTTGCGGTTAGGGACCAAATGCACTACCGGAATCGGTTTAGGACTATCTTTGACATTTGTCAGCTGACTTGTATTTTGTGCTGCGTGTGTAGACGAATTCTTTTCAGTGGAGTTTTATTGGAAAATCAGTTAAAAAAGTATAAGAAATGTCAGGCAAGGATAGGCTACCGATTTTCCCATCTCGCGGGTAAGTCTTACCATAGTTTTACTAACAGAAAACCCGTTTGCAGCAATGTTTTTAGCGCTTGTAAATTTAATCAATTTGTACGACTTCACAATTGCTAAAAATTTTAATTTTTTCCAGTGCCCAGATGTTGATGAAGTCACGTCTGGCTGGTGCACAAAAGGGTCATGGTTTGCTCAAGAAGAAAGCGGATGCATTGCAAATGCGTTTCCGTATGATTTTGGGTAAAATTATTGAGGTAAGTCGTATGTACGTTCTACCAGCAGGGCCATAAAGGCCAACCCACTTTACACATGACTGTGATAGAATTTCTAACTGGGTTACTGGGTGACTTACACTACTGCCAAGGCATTTAAGGTCTTTGCCAACTTTGCGACTTGCGTTGCTTAATTGGCTTAATTCAACTATTTCAGACTAAAACTCTTATGGGCGATGTTATGAAGGAGGCTGCATTCTCGCTTGCCGAAGCCAAATTCACCACTGGTGACTTCAATCAGGTGGTCCTACAAAATGTGACCAAGGCACAAATCAAGATCCGCACAAAGAAAGACAACGTCGCCGGTGTAACGCTGCCAGTGTTCGAATCATACCAGGATGGTGCTGACACCTACGAATTGGCTGGTTTAGCGCGTGGTGGTCAACAATTGGCTAAATTGAAGAAGAACTATCAGAGCGCAGTAAAACTTTTGGTTGAGTTGGCATCGCTGCAAACATCATTCGTAACACTGGATGAAGTTATTAAAATCACCAACAGAAGAGTGAACGCCATTGAGCATGGTAAGATAAACTATAATCGGCCTTACTGCCAATTGTGAAAAATTGTTTTTGTTTTGCTTTATAATTTTTGGGAATATTTGTTCACATGGAACTCGCGATAAGGCCGAATAATAACACAGGCCAACAAAAATGGGGGAAAAAATTGTTGCGGCAAATGTTAAAGCCGTTTTTGATAAACTTTTTTGTGCTGATTACGAATCCGTTAGTATAAAGTTTCCATCAACTCCAAATTTTGAGAAAAACGAGATCAAATTGTCAAAAAATCGGCGTTTTTTGCAATATTTGAGAAGCTGATAGAAGGTAATAGAACCTTCCACTTAGGTTTAAATTAAAGCTAAAACTCTCGACTACTATCCCTGAAAATGCCATGCCTGCAAATTGATCTGATGGTCACCTATAATCATTTATTGAACAGCCAGTTTTCAGTTTCAGAACAGTTTTGTCGAAGTTTGAGTACCTACCGAAATTAAATAAAAGGTGGTAGAACCTTCCATTTAGGCTTAAATTAAGGCTCATTTACAACTCCTGAAAATGCCAATACGGCACAGCAAACTGGTTTTTGGCTAAATTTTTTTTTCAGTAGCACAATTTTCCAGTATTTTTTTATTGTTCAATAAATGACTATAAGTGACCATCGAGTCCAGGTGCAGGGATGGTACTTTCAAAATACTAGTTGAGAATTCTAGCTGTAATTTAGGCCTAAGTGAAAAGCTCTATTACCTTTTGTTTCTTTTCAAGAGATTCTCAAATATTGCAAAAAAACGCGATCACAGTTTGACTACGTGTTTCTCAAAATCTGGAGCTGATGGAAACTTTATACTTAAGGATTCGTAATCAGCACAAAAAAGTCTATCAAAAACAGCTTTAACATTTGCCGCATCAAAATCAATGTTGACCTGAGTAATAATATTAATATTCTGGAAACTTGAATTTAAAAAATTTATACTTGCAGTCATTATTCCTCGCATCGATCGCACACTCTCCTACATCATCTCCGAATTGGATGAATTGGAACGTGAGGAATTCTATCGTTTGAAAAAGATTCAAGATAAGAAGCGTATCGCGCGTAAAAAGGCCGAAAACCTTAAAGCGGAATTGCTTCAACAGGGCATCGATGTGCGCCAACATGCCAATATATTGGACGAAGGCGATGATGATGTGCTCTTCTAAGCCATAGAAATATTTATATGCCACCATTTAAAATAATATATAGCAAGAAACTATTGATTATATTTTGGCTAATAACACGATAAAGCGCCAGTTATTTTTCATAGGCGAATATAAACGTGTTACTAAATGTGTATATACATATATTTGCTATTTCGTTTGTGTTTTCAAAGTACGCCTAGTTGCGATAGCTACTAACAATTTAGCAAAAATGTACACAAAAATAAATTAAATATTACAGTTTCAACAGTATTCACAAAACTTGAAGGAAGATAAGAAAGTTTTTTTCGCAAAAATATTGATATGTGTCTGTGTAAACATAAAACTGCGCTTGGTATTCATACGTATGTTCATATATGAGTTTTGCGTTTATAAGACAAATTTAAAATTAAAGTGCGCATATGTAAATTCTGTATTCCATTCGTTAGATATTCAACCGCAACGCTACTGTAATAATAATATTGTACTAAATTTGATGTTTTATGTAATTAACTTGTTATTAGATGTGATGCTTTTAATTTCTACACCTTTAGTTAAACTAAATTCAAAAAACGGCGCTACTGCGTTGAGATGCAATACATACAAGTTCTGCTAAAAGTGTAAGCGTGTAGAAAGCGCTCATGTTTACTCAGTGTAATAAACGATTGCAATACTTGCATTACAAATTATCGAAGTCGGTTTTTTTATTTCAAAGTCTTCATCACAATCGGATACACTTGTTTTCATAAAGAGTAAAATTACGCTATTGCACCAGCAAAAACTTCAAGTAAACAAGTTAATAAGTAGTAAAACAAATCGGACTATAAATACGGGGTTTCCAATTATATCGGTGCCACCTATCGGCCATTTTTTTGTGGAATAATCAGCCTCACTGCGAGAGTCGTGTTGAATGCAAGTCGTTTTTCGAAAGTCGAATCGACCCCAGCGGCTAAATTTTTTTGTGGAGTTTTTTCCTTCCATGTAGGTAATATGGGGTGCATTCCGAAAAGTCAAAATACAAAGCGTCAGTCTCTTTTATTTCTATACCTCAGTAGATTGTAATGCCAAATGTGCGCAACCACAGTTAGATGCTAGTTTTCTACTAGGTTGGGCGAATTAGACTTTTTGTTCTAGTGCGGTTTAGAAATAAAAGAGACTCGTGCTTTGTATTTTGATATTTTGGAATGCACCCATGCATTCCATATGAACCAAATCGGATTATAACGAGGTGTTTCTTGACTGCTGCGCCACCTAGCGGATCAATTCGCATTGTCATTGGGTTCTGAGCTAAGTTAGAAGTTGGTTCAAAATTTTACCCAAACAAACATACATATCACACACCTAGATCTCATACGCGATCAACTAAAAAAAATTAGGACCACTTTTTTGCATAAATCAATGCAATAGGACTTACCTCCAACGAGTGCAACTATTTTTTTTTTGTTTTTCATGATTATATACATACATTAACTAAAAAAATACTGTTATACCTGTATTAAATGCCTTGAATCTGTACTCCTCAGTTATATTTCCCGATATGAATTTTGAGTTAGCACACTTTAGATCTAGGTGTGTGCTATGTACATACAAAGCAAGTTAAATAAAAGCTTGTAGAAAATAAAGTTTATTTTTATGAAACATTTTTTCTAAATTTTATTTCGTTGTATGTAAGTAACCTTTAAAAATATCGGCTTAGAAGCTATAACTATACATACATATATGTATATGTATTAAATAAATATGTATTGTAAACCCACACCAGCGAAATATATTAAATTTAAATTTTTAAAGCATAATAGATAAATTCTTTGGGTACTTCGTTTTAAAGAAAACTTAAGGCTTGTTTTCAAATAAAAGAAAACACATTGTCAAATCTGACTAAAAAACAGTCTATTGATTGATTTAGGTCAGAATGGTGTACGGGAAATGCGCTACTAAATAGGCTAGCTGTCCGTTTTTGGGCCATAAAGGAGATAAAGTTGTTTCAAAATATGACATAGTAAAAACCAGCCTTTACAGTGTGTATTGAGCTTTCTTTTGATTTGTTAAACTAATAAGGGCTAAGAAATTTTTTTTTTTGAACTTAAATCGTTTGAAGAGTTATTAAAATTTTGTATATATAAGGAACTTTAATTATTTTATTTATAACAATATCAAAAAATTTAAAAAATTATATTTTTGTTAATAAAAAGGCGAAGGACTCGCTGCTTATAGAGTGAATTAATGCTTGTTCTACGTGGGGATAAAGTTTCGATATCTTTATTTTCGCTTTGCCTCTTTTGTCCTAAGTGAATATGCTTTTGTTTAGTGTTTTGTATAATATAAAAATATTTAGATTTTTGCTTAAATTAATACATATAATTACATATAAACTACATTTTTTTTATTATTTTCTTATACTAATGTGCTAACGCCTTTAGGGCCCGCTGGCCTTAAATAAATATTTAGAAAGAAAAGTCAAAAAACATTTTCTAGACTAACAATGGATATCAAAATGTTTTCGAATCTCTTTCTCAATAGCTTATATTTAAGGATAAAGGAGAGGTCAAGTATTATTGCGTTTTGTATTTGTAAATATTAGCTTTGCGCAGCTTTCAGTTCTCAAAGCATTTGTTGAGAAAAAAAATTACAAAAATCAGTCTTTAGATGTTGAGCGAAGTGAAAAGCTAAAATATCAATGCTTAAAAGTTTAAACTAATTAAGAAAATGTCGTCTATAGATTTGTAGTGCATTTCATACAGTTAGTAGACCCTGCCATAGGGCAGCGTATTTGGGTAGTAGGGCATCAGCAGTTTGCTGCCAAAGCGTGCCGATTGCGCCGATTCGCTGCTGTAAAATAGTAAATGAAAAAAACATTTATGAAGATTTAGTAATTTATTTAAAATATATACTTAAATAGAATTACCTTGACGAAAACATCGATGTGCACAGTTCTGCACGTTGCATATGACCCGCACCACTGCTGGGTGGTGTTAGGCCGCAAGTGCTGCCTGTGGCGCGACGGCGTGCGCGTATCAGTGAATAAATCGCTACAATCACGGCAACTAGAAAGATGAGACCCAGTACGCAAAAGGAGAGGGCCAGCTTGGAAACGGAGAGGCAGAGTGTGCCATCGCTGTGGATTTGGCGAATGTGTGGTGGATACTCTTCGGCTGAGGGGAGGAAGACAAAAATAAAAAAATAAATAAATGAAATGTAAAAAATAAATAAATAAAATGCAAAAAATAAAAAATAAATAAATGAAATGTAAAAAATAAATAAATAAAATGCAAAAAATAAAAAATAAATAAATAAATGAAATGCAAAAAAATAATAGAATAAATAAAACTGAAATAAAATGTATACATTAAATTAAACTCAATTTAGTTAAAATTAATTTAACCTCATTAAATACATATATTGAGCTGATTGTTTATTTACATATGTATTTAACTTTCTTTCAACCCAAAAAATATACATATCGTCGATGTTTTTGCATCGACCAATTGCAAAACCGCACTCAAATTTTACAGGGGAATGAAAAAATGGTTTTTATTTAAAGGCATTGCCTTGATAGGCGGTATTTTTTCAAGCTATTATTTTACAAATCTGTCGTTTTATTAAGGATTTTACGGCTTTTATGCATAAATCTCGATGCATTGAGTTCAACATCGACGATATGTATGTACATATGTAGATGTATGTATGTATATTAGAGTGCATCACCAAAATTAGTGACGGGTTTTCCACCGGAACTATAAAATTTATTATATTTTAAGACTTCCGCCAAAATATTTCATAAAAATATTTAGAGTGAGCTGGACCAATTTCAAAATACCCCCAAAAATCTCATTACATATTTTCATTGCGTTGATAAAATTTTTAAACATTTTTATGCGGTCCTTTTAAGCTTAAACTCTTCTTCCATCTGAGGCGATTTTTTAGCGAAAATGTTTAAAAAAAAAAAACTAGTTTTATTGACAAAAAACTGGATTCTCATAGGTATTTTCAAATAGGTCTAGCTCACGTAAGTCTTAGTATTTTACGAAATGTTTGGCGGAAGTACAGTATATTTCATATTTCGGATAGAAAAACAGTACATTCTTTTTTGTATGAAAAGTGATGCACCCTAACATATATGAATCTTCATATTTTATGATGCACTTTAAATTCTTTTATTTATTTATTTTTAACATATGCTTTCAATTTTATTAAATTTATTTATTTTTAAATATAAACCTACAAATTTTGTTTTTATTTTTTATTTTTTTGTTTTTTTTTTTGCATCCTCTAATAATGTCCACCTACCACTCATATTATAACGACGGTCGTAACGCAATCGATCCACTTCAATTTGTGGTGCCGTCACCGCCAAAGAATTGAAAACTTCAATGCGTGCTAGATGCTTATCAGCGCTCAGCTGTAACGGCTCCGAGCTGCGACAATTTACCTGCAATGAAAAAATTTATTTAAAAAAAATGCAGTGCATATTCAGTAAAACTGCATTTAAATTGCGTACACATTTGCTGTAATAATTCGAAATGAAATCGAAAGTTTACATAAGTTTTATTTATAAAAACAAAAATAAGATAAAAAACGCAAGTGCTCAAACATTTTCAACATGTTAATTACGTTCATTGCTCATCCACTCGTGCGCTGTGAACGATTTTTTCAATGCGCATGCGTGCGCAACGCCAACACCAACGCAGTGACTAGTGGATAATGTGCGCGGCTTCAGTTGTTTTCGAACGCAATACGGCTGGCAAAAAACAAAGGTGGCAGAGTTATTAAAACGTATGTATGTAAATACCGAAACGCAATGATTTTGTGGCTTTAAAGAGCCACATAGCTCATGCTTTCTTGTTAAATCAAAAATGTGTAACGCTTTGTTACTCGCATGCCCCAGACAAATGGTCAACCTCGCTGGGCGCCCGCATCCACTCCAGCACGCCTACCCGCCTATCCGCTTGCTTATAAGAGCGCAAGCCATTCAACTCGCGCGAAAAGTGAAACAGCCTAAAAATTACACACAGCGAGGTTTTGTTGTTATTTTTGTTTGGTTTTTATATTTCTTAAGCAGGTTGCACAAACAATTTAGCTTTTAATTACAAAATATTTGCACTAATAGTATGTGTACGTGTGTGTGTGCGGCACAAATGTGCATTTGTATTGTTTACTTATTGTTTTCTGTAAAGTGCGTGCAAATAATTACGAAAGAGAGTTTTTTTTTAATATTTTGTGTCCTCACTTTCGTATCACTTCATTGATATTGGGTAATTCGCAAACAGAATAAACAAATAGTGCAAAATGCTTTGAACATGTTTTTAGGAGATTCACTAAATAAATGTGTCGATTAGAAATTATATAAAATTATATCGGTAATAGATAATAACCTCTAATTTTATTATCGATTTCATCATCGATATATTTAAAGAACCCGTTATTCAGTTAAATACATATTTAGAGGCATACATACACATACATACATACTTATCGATTTATTTAACAATCAATTTATCAATAACTGATACATTTGTTAATTTACATTTATTAATTTACTGTTCAATACGTTTATCGAACTCATCATCGGCATATTTATCGATTTATTAATTACACTGTTATCGAAATGTTTAACGATTTAGTTTTCGATACATGTATCAAACTAACTATCGTCATATTTATCGATTTATTAAACAATATTTGTTATAGGTAATTTTGGATAACTGAAGACATTTGATACTAATAGCAATGAAATATCGTTTTACTGTACTTATGTATGTATGTATATTTATATGTAAGTATATACACATATGTATGTACATATCGTTAATTTTTCTGCAAGTGTCATAATTAGGGATGGCAAAAAAATAAAATAATCGATTAATTAATCATATGATTAGTCACAAGCCAAAAAAAAATTATTGCAATTAATTGCAATTTTCGAGAAATTATCGATTACTCGAATTTTTAAGGCACTTTTTTACCGTGAGTAGATATTCACAAAAACAATTTTCCAAAAAAATTTCTGATCCTCAGCCTTATATAAAATAAAGCGAGTATTTTTAGCGGCAATTTTTTATTATTCAACCAAGTTTGCAAAAATAAAAGCTTTGATAAGCGTTTTGTTGTTTTTTCAAAAGCCCGTAAAGTTTTGGGTAAACATTTTTCATTTCCTCCCAAGCGTCGATGATATGTATTCCGATTTAGTTCTATGACTTCACAATTTAAATAAAAACTCATTTCATCATATTTCTTGAAATTATTTTTACGATTATTTTACAATTAATCGATTAATGAAACACAAAATTACGATACAATTAAGTCGACAATTTGACAAAAATAATCGATTAATTTAATCAAACGATTAATCGCTTCCATCCATAGTCATAATCCAATATACATATACATATATTGAGTTAAGTATGCACAAATTACCGCTAACTCTTGTTCTATGTTATATAAAAATTTCATAGCTGTATCGATTATTATACGAGTATATCGCACACGATCTTCAAAGCCCACTAGAACTTGAAGGGAGATCTCCCAATGTGAGGAATAAAAGAGTACTCCCTTTGTCCTGATTTCGGATCAATAGGAGAGATTTGTCGGTTTTGAACTCCATTATAACTTGCTTAGGAGTCAAATAGGAGATATCCTAAGCGAGCAACAAACGAATACTCCCAGGGGCATGATTTTTGAGCAATAAACGATTTTTGTCGAATTTGTACTCGTTTAGGAGCCAAACGGGAGATCTCCCAAGTGAGCAATAAAAGAATACTCGCTGAGGAATGATTTCGGAGCTATAACTGAGATTTGTCGGTTTTGTACTCCGTTATTACTCGCTTTTTTGTGTTATTGGAAAAATTTATCATAAGGAAAACTATAGAAAATATTTCATATAGAAACAATATAAGGAGGATGCAATAATTTAATGTGTGCTATTTAAATGAAGGTCCGTCGGTATGTGTTGCAACTTTTGTTGAAATTTATTAAATATTGTATTAGATACCGCTAAATACTTTTCAGAATTGGAAAATTATTAGGAGCGTCAGCACTTACGCACGACTCCATGGTTTTAACGTTCATATCACGCCGGTCCAGATCTTTTACTGGGTGGCAAAGATATCAGATGGGCAAAGTCACCTACACATTAAAACAAGAAAGTTTTATACACTCTCCCTATTTGCGTGAACTCCTGAACACCCAGGCATCCCTGACACCCGGGACATCATGTAGTTATCTTACCGTTTTATTATTATTCTGTTTTACTCTTAATGCACTTGTTCGCAACAGGAATTCCAAAATTAATCAATAATGTAATAAGTATTATTTATGTTTTGTCTGATCTCGTACTTATAGGTATCAGTTAAGATCTTTTAATATTGTATACAAACATGTGTTTAAAAAATTAAATAAATGGATTGCGCAAATAGCAAAATCTTCTAGCTTTTGTGTGGGGCAATGAAAAGCTCTTTTATTACTCGTACAGGGATGCCTTCCATGGGAGTACTCACTTATTGCTCGTTCGGGAGGAATATAGGATGTTTTTCTATGTGCACTCCCTTGTTGTCTTTTTGGGAGGTATAGGGGAGGTTTTTATGCCAGTACTCCCGTATTGCTCGTCTGGGAGGTTTGTGGGATGAAATTTTTGTGTGTGCTCCTCGATTGCTCGTTTAGGAGGTAAAAGGGATTACTCCCCTTCCTAGGACATACAATGTTAAAGGGAGTATACAAAATTACATGCTTATACACAGAAGCATACGGAGCAATGGAGAGTATTCGTATACTCCCCAGGGAGTACTCACCGAGCAATCGTACGATGCTCCCAAGTTCTACTGGGAGGTGACACAAATCAAAATAATACGTACGTCAGGAAATGCGAAAAACTGAAATAGCACATGCTAATCATATGGGCAAGGAAGACTTTACCTTAGGTTTTTTCAACATATTATAACAAAAATTTGCTCCAGCTTTTGTTGAAGGGAAAATGAAAGCTCTGTGTACGTGACTTTTGAAGATCGTGTGCGATATATAAACACAAAACTTTAACGCCGTTTTTCTTGAGTTTTGCTTTTTCGAGTTATGACACTATTGAAGTAAGGGAGCGATATGCACCACGAGTATATTCCGGAACCAAAAATAACTATTAAATATCAAGATATTTATTTTTAAATCATTTCAAAATCGTTTTATTTTTATTACTTCGAGCAAGAATAATCGTAATTGTAACCATTGTAACGGGGACTGAGTTTTCATAACCGATTAAAAACTTTTATTATTCTAAAATTAAATCTGATAATAACGGTTCTATATTGTTAAAAAATAAGAATAAATAATAGCGATCAAAAATTTATCGAAAAAATAAAAATCCAAAAATAACGATTATTCTTGATCAAAAAAAAATAAAAATCACAAAATAACGGTTAAATTTGATCGAACAAATAACGACTAAATTATGATTTTTATTATAAAGATCATAATCTTTGGGTTCCCAATCTGACGTACATATATTTCGCGCCAAGATACATATGTTTGTGTTGTTGTTTTATAATTTGTCACTTACAGTTTAGAGATGTGATTATGAAGCGCTAAAAGGTTTTCGTCGAAGAAATTGGAGCATTGAATATACCTAATCTAAAGCTTTAAATTATATTGTTGTACTTTTCAAATCCGAAGTAGGTTTTTAATTTTTACAGCGGGATAAAATTTTACTGCAAAGTTTATAAGGGATTTCTGGCGAAACTTTCAGCCTCGAATAGTTTCTCATTGCTGATTTTTTTTTGTGTTTTCAAAGGCTATAGAAAACCCCTTCAATGACCTCATACACATGAGTGGCCACATGAGTGTTATTTAGCATTTTCAAGCGCCGCTTACTTGAGTTTTTAGTAACCATTTTAGTAACCATTTTCGTAAGATTATCTTCTCATAATTTCCTATACATATGCACATATTTACTTCATTTAATTACTTACATTCGGACATTTGCCCTTGCACAGCTGCACGCCACAGCTGACATGCAAGCGCTCGCGATCGGGAAATTTGAAGGCGGGAAATGTGGCCGTGAATGTTTTCTCCATCAAATCGTCCGGTTGTTGTTTGGACCAACCCTCGTCGACTGGTTTGTAATGTTTGTTTAACGGTGGCATGACCTGAAATTGTAAAAGAACGTAAGTTGTTTAGGAAAAATAAGCAATTGCATAGATTCAATTTAATCTAAAAAAAAACATATAATTATTCATATTATTGCTATAAGAAAATCCAGCATGCAATGCAAATAGCGGTTTCTTAGCTGAGCTTAGCCATCCATCCATTTATTTTTATTGATTTTAGTAACGTTTTTTTTTTTTGCTTTGCATAATCGGGCCTCCTCAGTCAGCCTTAAGCAAAATGGTTTGGATTGCTTCTATTGTTTGTTATTGCTGTTGCTATTTCTTTGTTTATTTTACTAGTTACATTATATGAAGCGTAAAGTAACATCAACACCATGAAAAATGTGTTAATAAGTTTAATGAACTTCGCAGTACTTGTAGTTATGTACTTACATATTTATGTACATACGTATGTAAAAGTAAATCCGAAAAAATACATTTACTCGTAATGCTCTTTTGCATCAAAGAGCTTCAATACTTGAATATTTGCTGGGATAATCTTCAAATGAACACTAAAGCTCAGACCAGATCAGCAGGGCTCGGAGTTTGATGACATGAACTACGAGTTAAAAATAAGCTTAAACAATTACAACATGTTCTTAATATTCCTTAAAAGTTACCTAAAACAGAAAAAACTTGCAGAAAAAAAATCCCTTTTTGTTTTATATATATTACGATAAATCTGAAAAAACCGGGCTACACAGAAATCACAGAAAGTCCATTGTGTGATCGGCTTCTTACTGTCATGATACTGGAACAAAATTATAGAAAAAAGATGGCGATGGAAGATCAAAAATTTCAAATCAAAAATTTCGTAGGGCTAACATACCTCACACAAAAATATTTAGTTTTTATGACTCCAAAGGATTAAATAAATACATTCATGACTTGTAAAAGATGAAAGATTTTGTGATCCATAAGGGGTGTGACAGTTTAAAAAGCGATGTCGCGTTATGGAACAATTGAGGCAAAACTTCAAGCATCGAAAATAATGAAAAATTCATGCAAAAAAGCAGCGTTCAAACATCTGTTCCATATCATTGGACTATTTTCTTGAATATTTCAGCAAAAAATGCACTGATCAAAAACAAGGATAAAATAAGGATATTTAAGAATAACGCCAGCGCTAATTTTATTCATGGACTTTACACTTATGGACCGATACATTTATATAACTCCCTATTGACATATTCATCAATAATTTGACGAGATATTTATCGATATTTATCGATATATTGTTGCCGATAATTTTGAATACTATAAGACGTTTGATATCGACTTCAATATCAGCCAAAATCGTAAAAAAAATTCTGATTTTTTCTTGTGTATACATATGGCATTGGACACTTTTAGATAACAGCGTAGTGCTCGACGTTGAGCTGAAGAACAGCTTAACTGATTTGATGAAATCTACCAAGATATCTAGAAAATCTATCCTATCTGGAAATCTTACAACCTTATGTCCAACCCCCGGCTATGACCAACTTTCAGCGCTGTAGAACACTGTTGTCAGGCGTGCCGTACCAAAGCTTTTAAAAGATCTGTACAATTTATTTTCGGCTGGCACAAAATGGGAGGGTAACTAAAAAGATCTAAGAAAAAAAAAAGTATAATAATTTTACCAGTAAAAATAGTCTTATTGATTTTTAAGATATTTTTCAGCATGATTTATATACTTTTGCTTACGCTGTCGAATGTTCCCTACAGTGAAGTCGGTAGCTCAAAATCATGGGTTTTTTATGCTTACTATTAACAGGTCTATTGCGCGCCGGTAACAAAAATTTGGTAACCGGTAAATAAAGCTTCTGTCAATTTTTAAATTCTTCGCATTCTTTTTTTTTTTTGTTTTTTTGTCTACTTGACACTTGAAAGTAACCCTTATCGTAAACCGTTCCGATAATGCTAAAGAAATTTAAAATTGTGCTATGCAAAGGTCAGATCGAATTCCGTATACTTGTTTAGTAACCCTCCTAAAAGCTTTGGCTGGCCAACACTGCAGTAACTGCAGTGATGCTCAGAGAGAGCTTTTACTCTGTGCGCGTCCATATAAAATATAGAGAGCGCTTTGAAGAGTTCCGCCCGCGGGCTCTGTTTTGAGTACCACTGAACTAGAAGCACAAACAACTTTTGAGAGCTCAAAGCTTTCTAAAGTCCTTTGACGGTAAAACTAAAAGCTTAACTCAAAGAGCTTAAAAGGGACCAACCTCACATATGTACATAACATTAACAATTTCCGTTGAGACAAAGAGGAGACTTTTATTCACTAACTACTAGAGATCAACATACGTAATTGAATGCATAGTACGTCAATGGCCTATCAAATTACGTGGCGTCAACGCAAACTATTTATAAATAAAATAATAACAATAGCCAACGTAAATGCTCACAAAAGTGTGAGCAAATGTTAACGTAACAGCAAGAAGGGCGGTGCGCGCAGACGCAGAATGCATTTGCGCTAAACGCAGACATGTGTCAAGTTCAATGCTTTTCCATGATACAAAAAACTCATAGCTGAGCAAAAAAAAAAGCATTCAAATAAGTAGTTACTACATATACATACATATGTATATACATATGTACCTACACAGCGGGTGTAAATTACATACATACATATGCACGGGTATATTATTACTTTGGAGTCTGAGTTACTTTTGCTTTGCCAAGCGTAATTGATGTGTGAAAAAATCACGCTTTATATTAGGAAAAAGCGTTAAGTAAATTAAGAAGAAAAAATCAACAAAAGCGCGCCATTCGATACACGCAAGTACAAGCAGATTCACTTACGTTGACGGAAATGAAGGCACCTAGGTAGGCGGCTATGATTTAATACAGCGAAATACAATACAAACTGTGAAAATACATGGCATTGGTGTCACAGACAATAGCTAAGGGAAAACGGAAGTTCACGCCGAGTTCAGCTGAATATTTATTAGTTTTAAAAGATACTTGTTGCTCCATTTTGATTTATACTAATTTAAGTTGTGATGCTTCTCTTACTATATTCGAGGGTAGCGTGATTTTTGAATCGAAGCTTTGTGTTACCCTTGAATGTGGTAAAATCTTCTTTAGATCAGTACTCACTGATTCCTTTCCCATGTCCCAATGGCCATCATTGATAGGACTCTGGTTTTAAGGTACTCAGTAGAAAATGGAATCCATAAGCATAGTTTAATAGCATATTTCCATCAAAGGCTTAACTGCAGTTAAGAGCTCAGAGAAGTCCAAATAATTCCAACATGGGGTGATCGGCAAGGTTTTTTCTTAAGTTTTGCGTTTTTCCTTTCGTTTACATCTACTCAATAGAATCACCCCCTTCGAGTTGTAGTCTCCGTTTTTCAAACGGCATAACGAAACAACACTCTCAAGTATAAAGGTATCCACACACCTATGCGATTCTGTCGCAACAAATCCGCACCGTTTTTGATGCTACAGACGTTACTGCTTCGAAAATGCAAGTACGCACACATGTGAACGATTTTATCGCAGTAAAAACTGTCAATTTATAGACAAACTAAAAAAAATATTTGTCAACAAAAGTAAAATTATTAACTTTTCTATATCAAATATGTTTTGTTTTCTTACGTTCAATTTTGATTTATTTAGAATCCTTCTATTGACCTTTTTCGTTCTCAAAACGCGGCAGTCTGCGATTTCGGCACGACGAAAAGAAGAATTGTGAAAGTTTGAATAAATCGCTGCAGCAAAATCGTACAAGTGTCATTTAAAACTATGGTCGGCATTGTTGTAATATTTGTCGGAACAGATTCGTACCGACAGAATCGCATAGGTGTGTGGATACCTTAAGTCACTCATCATGCGCGTGCTAGTATATGGCGCAGAAGCAAGGACAATGACAACATCCGGCTCTTGGATTATTCGAGAGAAAGATTTTGCGGTATATTTAATGACGTGTATGAGCTTCACAACGACATGGACAAAGTGCAGTGAATTAAAATACAACGGCTCCGCTGGCTTGGCCATATCAGAAACGTTCCAGCTCTGAAAGTATTCAACTCGGAATCCGCTGGTGGGCTTGGCTTCACTTGGCATTTCCAATTGGCGTCAGTTGGCACAGAAGACAAAACGACTGGTGCTTTGTCGAACTCGGCCAAAACCGCTTAGGCGGTTACAGAGCAAAAGAAAAAAGACAGAGCCCATATATGTAGTTTGTCAGTAGGAGCTGAGTAGGAAGCCTAATTTAATCGGAGTATATTGGTAGTCACGAACGTTTCACGTTGTAGGTTATTCAGACAGTTTTGACGACTCAGTGGGTTGTTCGTTTACTAAGCGATTCTGATTTATTTTCGTGTAAAGCTGGTAGCCATGATCAATACTTAAGCGACGTACCTCGCTACCGATACCCTGATGGCTTAAGACGTGGAAAGTGCTGCCAGAAAGTCAATCTAGGGCCTTGTTCTTGCAGCAGGTGGCTTGTAGAAGGGATTTCGAATCCATCGACGTTTATTTTCTATTCAAGGCTCATTTCGTTCGTCCAGATGGTTAATAAAGTGGCCGTGGACTTTGCGGTGGATATTTCGACGTTTCGCACAGTGGAAAAATAATGAAAATCTCCGGGGTGTTAAACCGAGTTTGTCTTTAGTCGGCCGAGACTCCCAGATACGGAACTGAGGTTTGCTTTTGGACAAATGGGGCTCAAATTGGCCATCCGACGGTGGGCCGACGGTGACCAAAAGCGCCTTTAAGCCTGGTAATCCGACAATTTTCGATTTGGGCAGTTATCTTGAACAGTGCTGCTCTTTAAGAACTCACGCGGTAAGATTTCAGACTCTTATTATTACAACAATTTCCTTATCAAGCCCTTGAGGAATTCTCTGGGGACGAACATCAGCTGGCTGTGGGGTTTTACATTCTACATTTGGGAAATAGAACTCTTCTTAAGTTTTGGGCACAAAATACATTAGAAATGAAAATTGATTATTGACTCGAACCTTACAGCATCTAGAGGCTAATTTTACCCACTTGCTACGCCACTTTACCAAATTATGTTCCAACCTCCTTCGGCCAGTTGATAGAAATAGTTATCAATTAATGAAGAAAGACAGTTTAAGGTTATTCTATAGTTTTTTCTTCAATCCCTTTTCCATGCCCATATTTTTGCAGATTTTTTAGGCAATAAATCTTTCTTAAAGGTCAGCACTTTTCCACAAATGTCAAAGCAAATGGCATTAGTTGACATCTGGACTTTAAAAGTAGCGCAAATAAACAGGGAAGTAAATACGGTGCGATTTACCGTGCGAAACTTGGCCAAAAATAAAGAAAAAACAAACAAAATTAATTGAAATAAATAGTCACAAAATTGCACAAAAACAAAAACACATGCACAGGGCTATGAATGAAAACTCATGAAAACGGCGGCATGATGCAGCAGTAAATTAAGCTTTCCGCTGACAATTTTGACCTCCTAACGCTAAATGAAAGCGAAATGAAAATGAAAATCAAAGCAATGAAAACCCAAACACAAAAACATAAAAACATACATACATACAAATGTATGTAAAAAGGTTTTGTGCGCCGAGAATGAGAATGGAAAATCAGTCCCGGTATGTGCTGGGACGTCCGTAGCCAGTCACTAGTTTATTGCTTCATTATTCTAACGAGCATTTAATCTATTCATCTACGCGCAACTTAAATTATTTATTTATTACTATTACTTTTACGCTAGCGCTTACGAGAGCGAAGGGAATAGATAGAAAATGCTGAGGTGAGCCGCCTTGAGCGATCACTTAAAATAGAAAACCGCGCGCGCGCTTTAGAAGCGCATCAAGAAATCATTGCCGGGGCTACACTGGGTCACATGCTGCCATGGTGCTTATGCTGCTCCAGCAGTTAGCAAGTTACTGTGCCATGACAATAAAACCTTTGTTGGCCCATTTCTGGCGCAGATGAACTAAATGCCCAACAACAACTACAATAAAAAAAACAAATGGAATAAGTGCGTTCAGCGTCAGCGGGATAGTATTTATGTATGTAGTATAACGATGGCATACGCTGTAATGAATATCCAGCCGCCGCCGAGACGGTCGCGCTTGTGTTTCGCGTGTGTGCGCGGAATCGTGTCAAATATGCTAATGGAAAATATTTCACTCTTGGCTAATTATTGTGACCTCTTAATCTACTCAACTATGAGAATCACTACCAAGTAACCAAAAATAGCAACAATAGATGCTAAAACAATACCAAGCAACTGTTTTTTTTTCATACGCTTCCTTCTCCGCTTCCCTACGACTACATAGTAGTGTCTCAAGCTGCAAATACTTGTTGGCAGAACAAGTGCCCTGCGAAGGAGGGTGGAAAAAATATACAATCAAAGTGATGAATAATTTAATTGCTATGTAACCGCATACCCAACAACAACAGCAATTAAATACCGTAGCAACAATGTGACTTTTATGCACAGTAGTAGTGGTAACTAGTATGTATGTGTGTATGTATGTATGTAGTCCAAAACTATGTTCTAACATTTAGCATAATTAGATGAAAGAGTTGTAACTAACAACAAAAAGGCGTACGTACGGGCGCGAAGACGGGCGTATGTATGTACGCATGGTCGGTTAGCTGGTAAGCGCTATAGGCAGGCGTAACCGCGAGCTTAAAATAGCGTGGAAGCGTTAGTTGCAACCTATTTATCTACCGTTTTACAGATATAATATACAAACATATGTACTGTAGTTTGTACCTTTTTAAGTGCTTCGTTAAATACCCGTGAGGTATGGAGCAGCGCGTTGGCATTATTAAAATACTTTTTTCGTTTGTACCGTAGAGCGAAACATTTAGAGATAATTGTGTGAAGAATTTTGATCCAGAAAATAAGCGAGCGTTTAAAACATACATATTACACATAAAATAAAGATGTAAAAAAAGAGTAATTCCAGAAGGTAGTTGCAAATTTTTGGCACACTTTTTTTATAAACAGAAAAAAAATCTGAGAAAGGGTTCATATTAAAAATGAATTAAGTTTAAAAACACCAAAAAGACTAGATTGAGCCCTTTGATGGCTGAACAAGAACACAGAAGTGCAAGTGTATAGGTAATGTGACCAACTATTTCATAGCTCAAAGAAATACAGGTTACGTTGGGTTAAGTTAACGCCGCGAGCCGATTAAGAAATCCATGAGAGCTCAGTGCTTGTTCAGAAGTGCGAGCCAAAATGCTTAAATTTTAGTCCCGCTAAAGGTGGACAATCGAAAAGAAAGTGTGGAGACGACTCCACTTCATCTTCCTCTTGACTGCTGAATACCAATCGCACAGTGGCCTGTCAGAACCTCCATCACTAGCCCTTGAGAGGTAAAGTTTTTTGAAGTGCCCTATAAAAAACATTTGCTGCAGCAGAGAAACGTCTTCTTTTCCTTTTTATGTCAGAAAAGGACCCGATTTCCCTTAGCCTGATATCAGTTCGTGCTGCGACAATTCGGTTTGCACAATACACAGGCGCCGTGTTCAACATATGCATGTTAAGCGCCGGTGTAGGTGTGGTTCCTAATGCTTCGCTAATTCCTGTTTTACAAGTGTTGCCTTCTCTAGTGAGTTGCATCAGACAAGGGCTGTTTGAAACAATATAGCCTAAAATCTGGTTTCCTAGAGCTAAAGAATCAATTTGGGCGAGCGACCCCACCTTTTACGGATAGCTCCCCTACAGCACTACAAGGTAACTGACACCTTTTCTACCCTTTCCTCAATGTTAAGCTTCTCCGACAGCCGCCGTTGATCGCCCACCTAGTCATCTGGTTCAGGTAACCTTGAACCAGATTAAAAGGCGTGTTTAGAAATCGGCCCTTAACCAAAAGCTTCACACCATCTACATAGGTGATCATATTATAATTATATACTTGACTATTGCCTCTGGAGTGACATTGTTGTAGGCCCCCTCGATATCGAAGAAGGCCCCTGCTGCATGATGCGTGCAGGCTTTCTCTGACCACTTTACCAATGTGTGCAGGGCGGTATTCATAGACCTTTTCTTGCAAACGGCATATTGAGCTCTTGAAAGACAGTCACGAGGAATCTCGTTTCTTATTTACAGGTCTATCAGTCTTTCTAGTATTTTTAGCAAAAGCGTTTTTAGCAAAAATGAAGAGACTGATAGGCCTAAAATCTCTAGGGGAAACATTAGAGCCTTTTACGGCCTTCGGGATGAACACAACACTGACTATCCTCCAAGCCTTAGGGTTGTATCCGGTCCTCATGTAGTTCGCGTAAATAGGATCCAACCAATTACACGACTCCTTCAGAGCACTTTGCAGCTGCGCGGGTATGATGCCATCGATCCCGGCGAATTAAATGGTTTGAACGAATTTATCGCCCAGGCCATGTGACGATCATCCAGAAGATCGGGGAAGTACAGGACCTGGGGGAAGATTATGTAACCAGTTAGCGACAATTTTCGAATCGCTATCGCACTTTTTGATGCAAAAAATGCGATAGTGATCCGAAAATTGTCGCTAACTGGTTACAGAATCTCCCTCCTGAAGTACAAAATATCGCAAAGAAGTACATTTGACTGTACTTCGAAGTACGAAGTACAAGAGCCAAAAAATAAGTACTGTACTTCCGAAAGAAGTACGTTTGGTCACATTATGTATAGGCTACACAGTCGAACGTGAAGCTAAGGAACTAGGATTGAGCTGGTAGAAGTTAAAATTCATTACCAGAAGCA